TATATATATATATATATATATATATATATATATATATATATATATATATATATATATATATATATATATATTATACAGTATATTGTATTATAATATACTGTTTATTATAATATTTTGACATGTAGGATTATGTAATATACCTTCATAATATAAAAAAAAACAGTATAATGTGGTCCAGATTTCCACATAAAGTTAAGAAGGACTCGTGTCTTCCAAACACAGCCTTCTGTCACTCTCCACTGAACCGGATTCTTAAACTACAGTATATACAAATTTCCAGCTTCATCCGTTGAGTTACGGTCAGGGGCCGGATAACATGGGCGTCCGGATAAAGAGGTAGAGAGGCCGGCTTTTACCCAATTTGTCACGCTTAGGACACCTTATCCCCTCTGAGACAAGATTAGGCTGCACTCTGAAGCGCATAAGGTCGACAAATTACACTAAACGTGTAGAATATTAGTCCATATATGCTGATTGTTACATAGGCCGGTTCTTCACGAAAACGACGCGTTCCTGATAAAAAAATAAAAGAAAGATGTCAGGTGATTTACATGTGAGTGTGTACTCACCTATTTGTGCCTGCAGGATCGAGCTCTAGCTCTTGGACCCCGTTTTGGTAGCCGTTGGTTGTTTAATGCAATGACTCCTCCTGGCCAATTTCCCTATCATACCTGCTTTTAATGTTACGAATGGAGTTAGCCTCTACATTCTGATCCTTTAGGTTATTCCATTTACTCACTACCCTTCCGCTAAATAAAAACTTTATAACATCTCTATGACACATTTGAGTCTCAAGCTTCCATCCGTGCCCCCTTGTTTTTGTTGTTATTCATTGTAAACATTTCCTCTGTTTCCACTTTGTCAATCCCTGTAAGTATTTTATACGCCTGTATCATATTCCCCCTTTCTAACGACGTCACGTTTAGTCCCTTCAGTCTGTCTTCCTACCTCATCCCTCGCAGCTCGGGAACGAGTCTCATTGCAAACTTCTGCACCTTTTCGTACTTCCTTATATGTTTTTTTAAGATGGGGATTCCACGATGGGGCGGTATACTCTAAGATTGGCCTCATATAGACGATTTACAGTGATCTAAAAGCCTCCTAATTCAGGTATCTGAAGGATGTTCTAACTTTTGCCAGAGTAGAGTATGCGGCTGACGTTATTCTATTTATATGAGCCTCTGGAGTTAGGTTTGGTGTAATGTCCACTCCCAGGTCTTTTTCTCTAGACGTTACAGGGAGGTAGTTTCCTTTCATCATATATTGGCCTTTCGGTCTTCTGGCTCTTGTCTCCATTTCCATCACCTTGTACTTGTTAGTGTTGATTTCAAGCAGCCATTTCTCGGACCATCTCTGCAACCTGTTCAAGTCATCCTGGAGAATCTTACAGATATCATCTGTCTCAACCCTCCTCATTAGTTTTGCATCATCTGCAAACATTGACAAAAAATACTCGACTCCTGCAGTCAAGTCATTTACATAAATGAGGAATAGTATGGGACCCAGCACCGATCCTTGAGGCACCCCGCTTGTTACTCTACGCCAGTCCGACTCTTTGCACCGCGCTGTCAAGACAATAATAATATGTGTACTCACCTATTTGTAGTATGTGTGTGTGTGTGTGTGTGTGTGTGTGTGTGTGTGTGTGTGTGTGTGTGTGTGTGTGTGTGTGTGTGTGTGTGTGTGTGTGTGTGTGTGTGTTTTTCACCTAGTTGTGCTTGCGGGGGTTGAACTCTGCTCTTTCGGGCCGCCTCTCAACTGTCAGTCAACTGTTACTAACTACTTTTTTTTCCCCACACCACACACACACACACTCCAGGAAGCAGCCCGTGACAGCTGACTATCTCCCAGGTACCTATTTACTGCTAGGTAACAAGGAGCATTAGGGGTGAAAGAAGCTCTGCCCATTGTTTCTCGCTGGCACCCGGGACCTCAGGATCACGCGTACAGCGTGCTGTCCGCTCAGCCACCGTCCCCCTCCCCCCTAGGCCGTGTGTGTGTGTGTGTGTGTGTGTGTGTGTGTGTGTGTGTGTGTGTGTGTGTGTGTGTGTGTGTGTGTGTGTGTGTGTGTGTGTGTGTGTGATCATATTAACAACTAATATTTATTGACAATGATGATTATGTCAGATGTTGTTGACGATACGACAGCTCTTTGTGTAGCCAATCGACGCTCAATTTACGCCGTCGTTCGCCCACTCAGCGGCCGGTATTTATGTCATCGTTAAGCCAATCAGAGCCGGCGAATTCAAATTTTCTTTTTGGAGGCTAATATTTATATAGCTCCATTAATTGAGTTGCAATCTCTTTGAAGCGACGAGCGAGCGCGACACAAAAAATTGCAGTTTGCGAGTTATATATCTCCTCGAGCAAGATTTAACATCGAGGTTCTGAGCCATATTTTTGTTTTATCCGTCGGGGAAGCAGCTGTCTTGGCACTAGTTTGCGTGGCGGAGGATGCCCGGCGCGTCTCTGAGATAAGGCTGGTATTCAAGCGCGGGTGGAGCCTTAGTCACAGGGTAACAGCGGTGGGCTCCGCACGCCCACGCCCGTTTGTGCCCATATGCCCCGCACTGCCCTGCCCACACTCATATACCTTACCGCCGGCTAAACTCCCTTGCATAATCCACCATCTGCCGCCCACGTCAGGCTATCTTTTTTCTGCCCCTACCGGTCGGCCGAGCGGACAGCACGCTGGACTTGTGGTCCCGGGTTCGATCCCGAGAACCGGCGAGAAACAATGGGCAGAGTTTCTTTCACCCTATGCCCCTGTTACCTAGCAGTAAAATAGGTACCTGGGTGTTAGTCAGCTGTCACGGGCTGCTTCCTGGGGGTGGAGGCCTGGTCGAGGACCGGGCCGCGGGGACACTAAAGCCCCGAAATCATCTCAAGATAACCTCAAGATAACCCCCCTCATTCCAGCTCACTACAATACCCAGCTCTAACGAGGAACCCACAGCTGGTGTAGCCTGTTCCCCTTTCGTAAAAAAATGCAGCGGTTTTTGCCTACACACAAACGTCAGACTCTGGGCAACCCACCTACCGGAGCCGATAATCATTATAGCCCTTTAAAACGTCAATATTGTGGCGCTTTCAATTTCTCTAATCCACCGCAAATTTTACGTTGGGGTCGAGAGCCTACATAATTTAGTGAGCTCAGCAGGAAGACAAGGGTTCGTCAGGTATTCACGCAGCCCCCTTACGAAACCTGTACATCTTTCCTCAATCGCGGCAACTGTGTTTACGTTTATTAAACAGTGTATGAGCTCCGAGGCGCCACGAGGTTGTTTATAACAATAATAACCTTGAGTTGTGGTGTTGGAAAGCAAGCTAATAAATGTAAACTAAGCTGCCATGATTAAGGAAATATGGAAAGATTGTGTGAGTGGTTGCTTAATGAATCCTAGCCCAGAGCTAAATCCTAGCTCAGAGCTAAATCCTAGCTCAGAGCTAAATCCTAGCCCAGAGCTAAATCCTAGCCCAGAGCTAAATCCTAGCCCAGAGCTAAATCCTAGCCCAGAGCTAAATCCTAGCCCAGAGCTAAATCCTAGCCCAGAGCTAAATCCTAGCCCAGAGCTAAATCCTAGCCCAGAGCTAAATCCTAGCCCAGAGCTAAATCCTAGCCCAGAGCTAAATCCTAGCCCAGAGCTAAATCCTAGCCCAGAGCTAAATCCTAGCCCAGAGCTAAATCCTAGCCCAGAGCTAAATCCTAGCCCAGAGCTAAATCCTAGCTCAGAGCTAAATCCTAGCCCAGAGCTAAATCCTAGCTTAGAGCTAAATTTGAGAAAACCTAAAGGCACGAAACAATTAGCTGAGGTAAAATAGATGATTTATGTGACCACGTTATGATAACTAAATGTAGCGACTTTACAAGATAAAACATGGGGGACATGATCACAACCTACAAGATACTGTGGTGGAAGAGACGCATTAGATACAGTCTTTTACAAGCCGAGGGGGGCACACAGATGAATCAACTGGAAACCTGAGCATGAACCAGAGGTTGTGGCAGCAACAACCATTCACAACATCAAGTTTTAACAATTAATATTTAATTAATTTAATATAATAATTTAATATGAGTATTAGAGCGTCAAGAGGCATAGAAATCGTAGCAGAGAGGCGAGGCTGCAGAGCTGGAGCTTGCTGCCCTCAGACACAACTAGTCAGGCATTACCACTTGATTGACAGTTGAGAGGCGGGACCAAAGAGCCAAAGCTCAACCCCCGCAAGCACAACTAGGTGAGTACTACTCCCAATACTCTAGCAATCAAACTAAATGAAGGATCATTTTTTTTTCCAGACCTGAGCATACAATGGTACCATACAATGGTACCATACAATGGTACCATGCAATGGTACCATACAATGGTACCATGCAATGGTACCATACAATGGTACCCAACATGTATACATTTTCTTCTGTCCTCATTGGCCAGGGTTAGAGATATGGTATATCTTGAGGTTATCTTGAGATGATTTCGGGGCTTAGTGTCCCCGTGGCCCGGTCCTCGACCAGGCCTCCACCCCCAGGAAGCAGCCCGTGACAGCTGACTAACTCCCAGGTACCTATTTACTGCTAGGTAACAGGGGCATCAAGGTGAAAGAAACACTGCCCATTGTTTCTCCCCGGCGCCCGGGATCGAACTCGGGACCACAGGATCACGCGTCCAGTGTTCTGTCCGCTCAGCCACCGGCTCGTGTAGGTAGACGCCACACAGCGGCTTATTGCTCACTCAATCACAGAATATGAAAGAGCCATGAACATGAATATGAATATGAACAAGGTGACTAGGAGAACTCTATGACACATTACATGAAGCCATTACGCTGGACACAGAGAGGCTGACAGAGAGGTTCACAGGTAAAGGCCAGGTGCACCCGAGAACAGGTCGAGAACCTCTTGCCGGAACCAGTTTGGTAATTAAATGAACAAATCCACAAGGGCCGTGACGAGGATTCGAACCTGCGTCCGGGAGCATCCCAGACACTGCCTTAGACGACTGAGCAACGACAGGGTAAAATTTGGCAATTTACTGCCAGTTTTTCACGTCAACACATTCCACCATTTTACATCCAGGCTTCCAATGACTGCTTGCTGTACATGGGCGAACTCTGCCGAATCGTTCCACTCTGAACAGTGTTCGAACCCCAGGGGCCAGATTCATGAAAGCACTTACGCAAGCACTTACGAACGTGTACATCTTTCCTCAATCTTTGACGGCTTTGGTTACATTTATTAAACAGTTTACAAGCATGAAAACTTGCCAATCAACTGTTGTTATTGTTATAAACAGCCTCCTGGTGCTTCGGAGCTCATTAACTGTTTAATAATTGTAAACAAAGCCGCCAAAGATTGAGGAAAGATGTTCAGATTCGTAAGTGCTTGCGTAACTGCTTTGTGAATCTGGCCCCAGGTCATTCTTGTAGCGAGTATGCTTCATATGCTCACTAACCTCTACACCACAGGTCTGTATAGGAACTGTGTGTATGTGATTTAGTTCAAGTGTTGACAGGATGAACAACCCAGCGGGTTTTCTTCCTATTGGGGAGTGTTGTACATGCTGCTATGGCGGTATGTCCACTCACAAGATGAGTGGCGCTGCCCAATAAACTCGCCCCTCGGGGCAAAATTTAAAAAATTTAAATTTTAGTTCAAGTATGTTTATTGAGACAAGAAAAAAAATACATCTCAAAGGGGTAGAGTAGCTTAGGCTATTTCTACCTCCCTGGATGTGATTTAGACCTCAGGTCCGAATAACATCACAATTTCCCTCTTCTTTAATGTGTGTGATGCTGTTTCCCCTCTTCTACCTAGCATCCTTCCCTCTCTCTCCTCTCCTACCTAGCATCCTTCCCTCTCTCTCCTCTCCTACCTAGCATCCTTCCCTCTCTCTCCTCTCCTACCTAGCATCCTTCCCTCTCTCTCCTCTCCTACCTAGCATCCTTCCCTCTCTCTCCTCTCCTACCTAGCATCCTTCCCTCTCTCTCCTCTCCTACCTAGCATCCTTCCCTCTCTCTTCTCTCCTACCTAGCTTCCTTCCCTCTCTCTCCTCTCCTACCTAGCATCCTTCCCTCTCTCTCCTCTCCTACCTAGCATCCTTCCCTCTCTCTCCTCTCCTACCTAGCATCCTTCCCTCTCTCTCCTCTCCTACCTAGCATCCTTCCCTCTCTCTCTCCTCTCCTACCTAGCATCCTTCCCTCTCTCTCTCCTCTCCTACCTAGCATCCTTCCCCCTCTCTCTCCTCTCCTACCTAGCATCTTTCCCTCTCTCTCTCCCCTCTCCTACCTAGCATCCTTCCCTCTCTCTCCTCTCCTACCTAGCATCCTTCCCTCTCTCTCTCCTCTCCTACCTAGCATCCTTCCCCTCTTCTCTGCCTCGCTGTCCCTTCCTCAACTTTTCTAGCATTTCCCCTCACCCTCGTCCCCCCTCCCCCCTTCCCTATGTTATCTAGTTTATAAACTGTCATTGTTTGTCAGACGCTCCTCGGGCCGCGATACAGTCTCTTCTTAACTGTTAACTGGCGCTCTGCTTCACGCCTTACATCCCCCACTCATAAGCCTTAATTGATAGTACATTATAAGTCTTCAGATTTAACAGTTAGTGTATATGCTTCGTCTTAGAGAGAGAGAGAGAGAGATTTAAGACTTCACTTTGATAGTAGTTCTTCTTAACTGTTTAGGATGACTTACTTAGGATGACTTTGGAGGGGACGAGGGAAGGGGAGAGGCAGGGAGGGAGGGAGAGCGAGAAGGAGAGAAGGAGGGGAAGAAAGGGAGGGAGGGAGAGAGCGAGGAAGAGATTGTGGAGAAAAGGAAGGAGATAGGGAGGGAGGGAGGCAAGGGGAAAGAGAGAGAGAGAGAGAGAGGGGGGAGTGAGAGAGAGAGAGAGAGAGAGAGAGAGAGAGAGAGAGAGAGAGAGAGGGAGAGAGGAGAGAGAGAGAGAGAGAGAGAGAGAGAGAGAGAGAGAGAGAGGGTGTGGCTATAGAGAGAGAGAGGAGAGAGAGAGAGAGAGGAGAGAGAGAGAGAGAGAGAGAGAGAGAGAGAGAGAGAGAGAGAGAGGAGAGAGAGGAGTGAGAGAGAGAGAGAGAGGAGTGTGAGAGAGAGAGGGGGTGTAAGAGAGAGGGGGGTAAGTGAGAGAGAGAGAGAGGGAGGGAGTGAGGGAGAGAACACATTGAGCCATAATACTCAACAACGGATCCAGATAATACACAATTAATAAAGTCATACGAGGAGAGGGCAGGACACACAACCACTCATAGGGCTCAGCTGGGGCTGGAAGCCGGGATATGTGAGACAGTGTGATAACATGAGAGGGAAATTGCCAGACAGAGAGAGGACATACAGACAGATAGCAGCCAGACAGTAAACATGCGCATGACAGCCTTTGACCTGCTATCAAAGGCAGACAGTTCACAAACTCACATACACGCTCACTAATACACTCACAAACCCAGTGACTCACATACACTCACACAAACTCTCTCAAATACTCACACATCTACTAGAACACCAGATTATCGAAGCGCGATTCAGTTTTTAATTAAAATCTCAAACTCATTTTTCACAATGTGAAAACTTCAAAAACAGTTTCGCGTTATTTAACATTAAAAAAACCCCGCTTGCCATTGTCGTCCTCAAGTCCAGAAATAAAAGTTTGTTTAAAATAAAAATTTGTCAGACTTCAACTACTGCTGCTGCTGCTGCTGCTGCTGCTGCTGCTGCTGCTGCTGCTGCTGCTGCTGCTAATATTACTGGTACTGCTACTGCTTCAGCTGTTTCTGCTAGTACTACTGCTACTACTAACAATAATAATAACGAAACTTAGTTATCAGCATGAGAAATGGGAGACTAAATTCACACATGCATGAGTTATAGTGGGGCAGGAAGATTGAGTGGGCACGCGTCCGGATACATTATAGTTTGCCTGGTGGGCATATCTTGGTCTCATTAGTGAGGTTTTGACAGGTGGAAGGTGTGGGGGGAGGGGGGAGTGATAAGAGAGCACACACACACACACACACACACACACACACACACACACACACACACACACGGGCGTCATTGCCTTAAACAACCGGTGGGTAGAAAGGCGGGGTCCAAGAGCTGATGCTCGATCCTGCATGTGAGTACACGCACGCACACTGCAGTACACTGGAAACTAACTAACATCAGGGCATCGTTTCTTAACTTTGTAAAGAAGGTGTTCATTATCTTACCTACATGAGACCATTATTAAAGTGTGCAGCACAAGAGTGTTTTTCTCACCTGAAATAGGACAGGGAGATGTGGAGAGTGGGACAGGGAGATGTGGAGAGTGGGACAGGTAGATGTGGAGAGTGGGACAGGTAGATGTTGAGAGTGGGACAGGTAGATGTGGAGAGTGGGACAGGTAGATGTGGTGAGTGGGACGGGTAGATGTGGAGAGTGGGACAGGTAGATGTGGAGAGTGGGACGGGTAGATGTGGAGAGTGGGACAGGTAGATGTGGAGAGGGACAGGTAGATGTAGAGAGTGGAACAGGTAGGTGTGAGAACTGAAAAAAAGAGACGTGAAGAAGAATAGGGAACAAAAACAGGAATAAAAAATGAGTAGAAAGGAACAAAAAGTACGGAAGGAAACAGAGAGAGAGAGAGAGAGAGAGAGAAGAAGAAGAAGAAGGGTTTCGGCCACTTGAGATAGTAGCAAGGGGAGATAGAGACGCCTCCAAAAGATAAGAAGCCCAGTAAATCATTCCTTAAGCTGTTGGTCCCCAACCATCGGAAGTTGCTACCGACCCTCTTTCCCTCCCCTCACCCGCCCTCCCTCACTTCTATAAGGGTGTGAGTGTTTGAGAGAGGGTGAACGATAAACGCAAAGTACCTAAAAATATGGACGCATATGTACCCCTATGAGGCCTCTTTGTAGAGCTGGCGTCTTGAAGCTGGCTTCCGGAGGCCGGCGTCTGGAGGCTGGCGTCTGGAGACCGGCGTCCGGAGACCGACGTCCGAAGACTAGCGTCCGGTGATTGGCGTCCGGAGACTGGCGTCCGGAGACCAGCGTCCAGTGACCGGCGTCCGGAGACCAGCGTCCAGTGACCGGCGTCCTGAGACTAGAGTCCTGTAACTGGTGTCTAGAGACTAGCGTCCTGACACCAAGTGTTGGGATGTGGACCGACCGTTCTCAGTAGCCTACATCAGTCCCAGTCTATTAACTTATCCTTTGGCTTGGAACTATTTCTTACTTTTTTATCTTTAGTTCTAGCTTTGATGGCAACTTGGACCGTATTTACTGTTTACCTCAAACATTGTTCAATCCAAAGCACTTATTTCTTATTCATCTGTTAAGACTTACACAAGTACCCTATAAAATTGTTAGTATTTCTTCTAGTTTAAGACTTTCACATGTAGAATTAAACAATTTTTAGTTTGTTAACTTGTTACGTGTAAATGGATATTTTGTTTAATTTTACTAATACAAATAGTCAAAGTTCCCCCCAAATTTAAACAAATATATAATGTTTATAAATATTTGCAAAAACCATTAAATGAACTTAGGAATACAGTGTTTGGACAAATTGTAAAGACATAATATCTACATATAAGGTGTAAGTTTCATACGAATTGAATACAAAATGAAAGAGTAGAGTCATTTTTATGTTACTTGAAAATGAATGAAGTCAAAGGTGCTGCCACCTGTGGCTGAGGTTGACATCAACCAATTTCCTCTAAAATTGGCACCCTTACAGATAGGATCACGGGGTGCAGTCAGGTGTATAAGTTTCATGCAAATCACCCGATAAAAAAATGAGAAAAAAATAGAGAGAAACAATTCTAATTATTATTTTTTGTTAAATAATTTTTTTGTTTATAAAACTAATTATTATATTTTTTTATTATATGCTATTGTGACAGCTAAGAGTCATAGACATGATTTCAATTGACACTTGTGTTTGATGTTAATTTTTGAACATTTTGGAAATTTTTTGACACATAATTAAATATTTTTTTCCTCCCTATTTACGCTACGATGTTGAGACTTGGACCAGTTGAAGCCCTTTTCATATACAACTAGTCACAAAAATTTAATTGAAATCGAACCAGTTTTCGTTCATTGCATATATTTGTATATTTTAAACTTGTGTCCTCTTAGAGGGTAGAAATGAAGGAAACGGAAATGTATATTTAGCAAGAAATGTTTTAATATTTTGGTGAATGTATCACACTTAGTTAAGAGGACGCTTAAGTATTCAATAACACATTTTCAATAACAAAAATGTATGGTAGAATCCTAGTGGGTATATATATATATATATATATATATATATATATATATATATATATATATATATATATATATATATATATATATATATATATATATATATATATATATATATATATATATATATATATATATATATATACATATACATACACGTAAATGACCTTTACGAATTTTCTTAATGATTAAAGGGGAAAAATCTTAAAATTATCTTAGAATAATTTTGGTTTGATGCTATAAATCGCAGTATATTACAAAGTGTCAATTATATCATTTTTATAAGGATGTTTTTGCAACTTTTAAAACAGGGCAAACATCGCTTAGTCGCGTCTAGAACGTATTATCTACAAATATTTACAACCATTTATACCGTTTTGACAGCCACAATCATAACAAAAACCATCGATACATTCACAGTAGCGCTCAAAATGCACTAACAAGACTCAAAATACGATTACAACAGCCAAGACACACTCATAACAACACTCAAGATACATAACAAAATCCAAGACGCAGAAGATACACAACAAAACCCCAAGACACACAACGGCACCTTCGATACACCTAAGACAAACGCAGAACCACCCAGCAGCAAACGCCTATATATATATCATAATTACATGTAAACCGCTAGCTTAACACACTCGGATACAATAGCCCATCCCTACATTGTGACTCCCCTAAGTAATGAAGGTACAGTGAAGAACATTTGTATCAATGCATGCACATACAGTGAAGAACACTGGTACTGATGCATGTATATACAATGAAGAACATTTGTACTGATGCATACATGTTTCCGCCGCCTACGCCGGCAAGCGGGGCGTCAGGAGGGGAGCCAGGTGAGGGTGGAGCTGCAGGCGTCAGTCAGTAAGGCTGGGCGATGCATTTCAACCCTCTTAGTCTTTTTCCTCGCCACAAAGTCTTTTTCGCCAACAGGAATTTGAGCGATTTGTAGGTAACAAAGATTATATAACATTTGACCCGGGTCGACTCGGGCTCCTAATACTTCAAATGGCGCAGTCTTTTGGGGGGTCGACCCGAGCACCACCGGGTACATCATCTTGTAATATATATATATATATATATATATATATATATATATATATATATATATATATATATATATATATATATATATATATGGCACAACTCTCCTAAACACGAGAGTCAAGTATACAACTTTAGAACACTTTCCCACCAGGAGACTCGAACCCTAGCCAGCACAGAAGCCATTCAGCAACTGGCATAACAGGTACGCCTTAACCCGTACGGCGGGTTAAGGCGTACCTGTTATGCCAGTTGCTGAATGGCTTCTGTGCTGGCTAGGGTTCGAGTCTCCTGGTGGGAAAGTGTTCTAAAGTTGTATACTTGACTCTCGTGTTTAGGAGAGTTGTGCCTTAAGCATAGACACTGTGTCTTCCCATATTAACAGGGACTTGATGAAATAAACGTATAAATGACCCCTCACTTGCTCTAGTGCTCTTGGGAGGTGGTGATCTTTGGTGTATTTAAATACTCCGAAATTACCATCTCTTTTAAGGGTCTGAGCTGGTGGTGGAGCGGGTTAAGGCGTACCTGTTATGCCAGTTGCTGAATGGCTTCTGTGCTGGCTAGGGTTCGAGTCTCCTGGTGGGAAAGTGTTCTAAAGTTGTATATATATATATATATATATATATATATATATATATATATATATATATATATATATATATATATATATATATATATATATATATGTCGTGCCTAATAGCCAAAACCGCACTTCTTGACCTAGTATCCAAGGTCCGATGTGCCTAAGAGGCAGAGTGATATTCGTTATTTTTATATATTTCTTTCCAGATTGGTTCTTTTCTAACAATAATCATCTATTATATTGGTAACATGAATTTTACTGACTTAGTTATGTTAGGTTAGGCTTGATAAAATTTCAATGTTAATTTTGAGTCAAATAACATAAAATTGCAATCATATATAATGTAATGAAAACTTTATCATTTCATAAGAAGAAAATGTGGAAAATATTTATATTTCACGAAAATTCGACAACTCTGGCTATTAGGTACACACACACATATATATATATATATATATATATATATATATATATATATATATATATATATATATATATATATATATATATATATAAGTTTGTGAGGGTACCACCTCTGGTGCCAATGTGGGGACCCATAGCCTCGGAGAAGAAAATAAAAAGTATTCAGAGGAGACCTTGTGGTTTCTTACTGAACACTAATATTGTCTTCTCCTACCACCCCCATTCTTTTGTATGTACACATATATATTTACTTTATTTGAGCTTTGTTACAAAAAAGGAGTTATATATATATATATATATATATATATATATATATATATATATATATATATATATATATATATATGCATCATCGGGGAAGAGAATTAAATGCTACAGGGAAAGTATTGAAGCTCTTCTGGATGCCTTGAGTATTTTCTTCTACCGCCCTATCTATTTGTTAAGTAATAAGTTATTAATTTATTAGGTACGATCGGGTTGAAGATTATACAGTTCACATATATAATAACAATTAATTTTAGAAAACCTCCTTCATCTCTCGGTGTTGTTGGACTTGTGATGAGGATACAACGGGCATTTCCTCTCTGAATGGCAGCACTGAGACACTGGAAGAACAAACTTATTTCTCTGGGGTCCTTCGTTTCCGAAACGAGTTTATAACCCAAACTCATTCAGGAGTGTAAGAGTCGTCTAGTTTAAGTGTCATTTTTGAGCTTTGGCATGCAGTATTAGCTGGCTTCACATTGCTGCTGGCCGGGGCTGCAGCCTAATTATCTTCCGTCTGTGAAGGCCCGGCCGGGTCCCCTAGCTCAGCCGAGGCCAGAGCATCCAGCGTCACCCCTTATGTTGCTTTAACTCGAGTGTTCGTATTTGATGTTGGAGTCTTCCAGGGGTTCCAGCACTGGTAACCTGGAAGGAAAAGAAAGCGGATAATTTTCATTCCAAATGTATAGGGGCGGGGTTTATTGGGTTTGAGCCTCGTTATTGTGACTTGTTATCTGCACGACAATGGTGTAAGCTCTGGGTAATGGGATGAAATGAAAAACAAAATTGGTCAATCTTTGCAGTTCAAGTTAGATTTGAACTTACAACCCTGTTGAAGTTACAGCATGATGCTGTTTACTTTAGAACTACTGACGTCACAGACTTGAAACCAACCTCAGAACACTGAGGGTAAAGTTCGCTGCTTTGAGTGTAACTTAACATTCAATAACGTTTATACCTAATGAAAAACTTAACAACATTAAATAGATCAATTTCTAAGAAACGCTAATGAAATGATGTCGGATAACAGCTCCTATCTAGCTTTCAGCTATATTTAACGAAGAGTGATGTCATTATTATTGAACCGCTGTCTTAGTTGAGAAAGAAAGAGAGAGTGGGGGGGTGGGGGATGCTGAGATGAAGAGAAGAACCAAAGATCTAAATAAGATTAACACTGGGAGGCTGTATACTTACTGCTTCAGTACCTGTTGTGAGAGTTGCTGGGAGTTGGGGAGGATGTGTTGTGGGGTGGAGGAAGGGGAGGGGTAGGACACCAGCTGGGCGGGCATATGTGGAGGAAGGGTAGAGAGCCCCACCCCGCCGCCACCCGCGGCCCCCGTCAGGAGGTGGCCGCCCTGGTCCAGGTGGTGGTGGGGGTGGTGGAGGGTGACGGGGTTGTTGCTACTGCTGCTGCTACCACCCCCGTAGTGGTCGGCTGCATGGTGATCCGCGTAATTGGTGATGACTGTCGATACTGGTTGGGGAGAGGCAAATGTGGTTAGACCATCTGGTTAGTTTCGTCGAAGGGTTTGCTAGGAAGGTAGGTGGGGGAGGGAATATTCCCACTGTGGTTAGTGGGGAATAAAGGTATATACATGGTGGAGATGAAGTATAATTAATACCTGCTAGTACTCTATTAGCAAATTAATTTGGAACTTGGAACGGTCGTGAGCTCAGAACATAGACTACAGCGCCACACAAATTTGAAGGATGAGGCTACCGCTGAATTAATAACTTCGTAAATATTAATAAAATGTCGATTTGAAGGTGCTGTATACTTTTTTGGGGGGGATTTAAAATACAGAATGTTATGTTGGGTTGTATAAGTGTTGTATTTGTACTCGTAGCACTGAAGGGTCAGTGCTTGAAGGGTGTGGGAACACTAGTTGAAGAAGTGTGACACTTGGTGGGACTGATAGAGGAATAAAGCCAGTGTGAGAGAGTGAGTTTGGACGATACGAGTCAGGGTGAATGAATGAGTATGGGTGACATGAGTCAAACTGAGAGTAAGAGTGCAAAATAAGAGTAAAATTGTTGCTAAAAAAAAAGTGTTTGGGTGAGAATGAATTAGCGAGTGAGACAAAGAATGAACGAGTGAATAAAGTAAACGCGTGAGTAAAAGTGTGTAGGGAAGACAGCGAGGACATAAATGTAAGTGAACATGAGAAGACGCGTGTGAGAAAATGAGTGAGAGTGAATAAGTGCGAGTGAAAGCGAGAGTGTGAAGGTGAGTCCAAGAGTCCGCCACACTTACCATAGGATGCCGTCGGCAGCGGCTTCAGCGATGACGCGCCACCCATACTGTAATTATTATGTTAGTTTAGCATAATAACAATACTAATTCCAATAAATAAGCAAATAATAATATTACTAATTAATAATACAATAATTTAAATACTTAGAAATATAAATTAATATACTGGAATTAACTTAGTTAAATGTTAAATCAATCGAAAAACAAACAGTAACGATAGGTTATAATTAGCAAAATGTAGTACACCCGACACTATAAGTATACACCGAGAGTGTATGGTGTACTGTGTGTAGAGTACGGAGTGTACTGTCTTCTCAGTACACTTGAGAGTTTCCATTCACCCTGGACTATATATATAGTCAAGACTAAAGTATACTTGCTACAGGGGATGAGTAAGGTATTGTGGTGGCCTTAATAACCCCTCCAGAGGTTGATATAGGCCTAATTACCCCCCAACACCAAACACACACACACACACACACACACACACACACACACACACACACACACACACACACACACACACACACACACACACACACACCTGATCCAATGATGTTCTATCAGGAGAACGGGTTAAAGAAAACTGGGAGGGGGGATAGAAATAGCCTAAGCTGCTCTATCCCTTGGAGATGTATTTTATTGTCTCAATAAACGAACTTGAACTTGAAGAAAACTTACACCCAGACTGTGGTAATGTAATACACTTGAAGGATTGTAAATGAGAAACACAAATAAGAATTTAAGGTAGCTAGGACCTACTGCTGTCCTGGAAGTGAGGTAGCTAGGACCTACTGCTGACCTAGAAGTGAGGTAGCTAGGACCTACTGCTGACCTAGAAGTGAGGTAGCTAGGACCTACTGCTGACCTAGAAGTGAGGTAGCTAGGACCTACTGCTGACCTAGAAGTGAGGTAGCTAGGACCTACTGCTGACCTAGAAGTGAGGAAGCTAGGACCTACTGCTGTCGTGGAAGTGAGGTAGCTAGGACCTACTGCTGACCTAGAAGTGAGGTAGCTAGGACCTACTGCTGACCTAGAAGTGAGGTAGCTAGGACCTACTGCTGACCTAGAAGTGAGGAAGCTAGGACCTACTGCTGACCTAGAAGTGAGGTAGCTAGGACCTACTGCTGACCTAGAAGTGAGGTAGCTAGGACCTACTGCTGACCTAGAAGTGAGGAAGCTAGGACCTACTGCTGACCCGGAAGTGAGGTAGCTAGGACCTACTGCTGACCTAGAAGTGAGGTAGTTAGGACCTACTGCTGACCCGGAAGTGAGGTAGCTAGGACCTACTGCTGACCTAGAAGTGAGGTAGCTAGGACCTACTGCTGACCTAGAAGTGAGGTAGCTAGGACCTACTGCTGACCTAGAAGTGAGGTAGCTAGGACCTACTGCTGACCTGGAAGTGAGGTAGCTAGGACCTACTGCTGACCTGGAAGTGAGGTAGCTAGGACCTACTGCTGACCTAGAAGTGAGGTAGCTAGGACCTACTGCTGACCTAGAAGTGAGGAAGCTAGGACCTACTGCTGACCTAGAAGTGAGGTAGCTAGGACCTACTGCTGACCTAGAAGTGAGGTAGCTAGGACCTACTACTGACCTAGAAGTGAGGTAGCTAGGACCTACTGCTGACCTAGAAGTGAGGTAGCTAGGACCTACTGCTGACCTAGAAGTGAGGTAGCTAGGACCTACTGCTGACCTAGAAGTGAGGTAGCTAGGACCTACTGCTGACCTAGAAGTGAGGTAGCTAGGACCTACTGCTGTCCTGGAAGTGAGGTAGGTAGGACCTACTGCTGACCTGGAAGTGAGGTAGCTAGGACCTACTGCTGTCCTGGAAGTGAGGTAGGTAGGACCTACTGCTGACCTGGAAGTGAGGTAGCTAGGACCTACTGCTGTCCTGGAAGTGAGGTAGGTAGGACCTACTGCTGACCTGGAAGTGAGGTAGCTAGGACCTACTGCTGTCCTGGAAATGAGGTAGCTAGGACCTACTGCTGTCCTGGAAATGAGGTAGCTAGGACCTACTGCTGTCCTGGAAATGAGGTAGCTAGGACCTACTGCTGTCCTGGAAATGAGGAAGCTAGGACCTACTGCTGTCCTGGAAATGAGGTAGCTAGGACCTACTGCTGTCCTGGAAATGAGGAAGCTAGGACCTACTGCTGTCCTGGAAATGAGGTAGCTAGGACCTACTGCTGTCCTGGAAATGAGGTAGCTAGGACCTACTGCTGTCCTGGAAATGAGGAAGCTAGTACCTTCTGCTGTCCTGGAAGTGAGGTAGCTAGGACCTACTGCTGACCTGGAAGTGAGGTAGCTAGAACCTACTGCTGTCCTGGAAGTAAGGTAGCTAGGACCTACTGCTGACCTGGAAGTGAGGTAGCTAGGACCTACTGCTGTCCTGGAAGTGAGGTAGCTAGGACCTACTGCTGACCTAGAAGTGAGGTAGCTAGAACCTACTGCTGACCTAGAAGTGAGGTAGCTAGGACCTACTGCTGACCTGGGGGAGGTGTAGCGGTTGGGGACAGGCTGCTGCTGATGCTGCTGTTGGTGCTGCTGCTGCTGCTGCTGCTGAGACGAGGAGGAGGCAGAGGAGGAGGCGGAGGAGCCGGCGTTCTTGGGTTTCCTCTTGCGAGTCTGGATGGGTCCTTCCTTCTTCATGGTGAGGGGACGGCTTACCTGAGGGGGAAGACGGGGGGACAGGTGAGTGAGGGAGAGAGTAGGCGTCCAACCACACACCGAAACTACGACGTTGGTACAACGTTCGAACATGTTTTAACACCTCCTAACCAGTTATAACAACCAATATAGCAAGTTGTAACAACGTTCTAATACGTCATAAACACGTTAAGCCAAGATGTAACAACTTTATTACAAGTTGTAACAAGCGGAAAATAGAGACAGTTTCGGTTTGTGTTTCCAGGGTATATACCGCGATCATGGCAGCTTAGTCTGTATTTATTAAGCAGTTTACGAGCTCCGAAGCGCTGCGACGTCGCACTCAGCCATCATAACCTTGGGTTGAAAGCGAGCTCGTAGCGTTCTCAGGTCTGGATGGGAGGTATTTTGTTAAATAACACTTAACTCTGCTTCTCATTAGATGTGCGGCTTTTTTTTTTTTTTTTTTTTTTTTTTTTTTTTTTTTTTGAGATATATACAAGAGTTGTTACATTCTTGTACAGCCACTAGTACGCGTAGCGTTTCGGGCAAGTCCTTAATCCTATGGTCCCTGGAATACGATCCCCTGCCGCGAAGAATCGTTTTTTCATCCAAGTACACATTTTACTGTTGCGTTAAACAGAGGCTACAGTTAAGGAATTCAGTTTAGCAACTTTAGATGTAACTGTGGAAAGGAATCCCAAATTGGTGATAGAGTACTTAATTATAGATCCGCGTATTGTAGAGGATTATACATCCCTTAGCATGATAGGTTAGTCTCTGTAAACAAGCTAGTGTCTTAGGCATACAGCTGTAATATTTTCCACGTTTTCCGAAGGCCAGATTTTCACCAATGGCCACTAATAATGGTAATTGTTAATAAGTTACATGTCAGTGTTCTCTTGCCTAGCATTACGACAGAGGCCATATTTTTTGTTAGATATATACAAGAGTATATATATAAGAGTTGTTACATTCTTGTACAGCCACTAGTACGCGTAGCGTTTCGGGCAGGTCCCCGGAGTACGATCCCCGCCGCGAAGAATCGTTGTTACAACCAAGTTCTCATTTTACTGTTGAGTTAAACAGAGGCTACGGTTAAGGATTTGCGCCCAGTAAATCCTCCCCGGCCAGGATACGAACCCATGACAAAGCGCTCGCGGAACGCCAGGCGAGTGTCTTACCACTACACCACGGAGACTGGATATTCTTGAGGACTTGGTGAGACAGACACGAGTTGGGGTTTATCAGGAGCAGCAATAACTTACCACCGTCGACACCCAAGATAAGATAGTTTTTAAGGTTTGGTGTTGGGCTTAAAAGTTATCATAACCTCGGGGAAGGTTATTATGGCCACACAAGTGCTTACAGACCAACCAACGATGATTTAACGCCGAGCAATGGTCCAGGATTGTACTCATCTAGTTGTGCTTGCGGGGGTTGAGCTCTGGCTCTTTGGTCCCGTCTCGTTGACTGTGGTCAACTGTGTGTACACCCCGAGAAGCTGTGTAAGCCTCTTGGTGCATATATGCCTGTGCGTTGTAAGAGTTACAGTAATGTGAGTTACAGCTTTCTTGTTTCCCGGAAAAAATCAAAAGTGTACATTCAGTGAACAGTGTTCATTGTACATTCAGTGTACATTCATCTGTATAAACCTTAGCCTCTGATATTATTATTGTTATTATTATTATTATTATCATAAAAAATGAAAACAAACGCTGGAATACTGAACTTATTACCCCCCCTCCCTCCCCTTCCTTCTCATTACCCTACATCTCCCTATAACCTCTCCCTTTCCCACAATGCCTAAAATGAGCAACTTGGACCAATCAGCGGTAATCAGATCATAACTAGCAGCCAGGCAGATTGTCGGTCAGACTGGACAATTAAGGCATCAAGGAATTGATGAGCCTATTAGGGGGGGGACTGGGGAGGCCTAGGCGGTAGGATGGATGGAGAGGGAGTAAGGAAATGAGGAAACTAGTAGAGAAGAGAGAAGGGAATGGAAAGAAAGGTAAAATAATAATATAATGCGGGAAAGGGACAGTAAAGTGAAAAAAGAGATAGGGAAGATATGATAGGTAAGTGGACCTATTAGGGAGGGGGGAGTTAGGGGAAGGGAATGGATACAGAAGGGGTGGGCTTGGGAAGGGGTTACAGTCAGCCTATCATGGCTGACCATCTGTACCCCGCCTCCTGCGACGGCGAAACGACACACAAGCAGTAACAATCCATCAGCTCAGTAACGACTGCCTAATGACCGCTAAATGGGTGGTTAACGATTGCGGTGGAGCGATTGTATCGAAGTTTGTTGGTTTCCAGTCTGGACGGGCAGCCAGGGTTTGTTTACTTTGTGTTGGTCGCTTAGCCTCCCAGTTTGTGACGGTCGCTTAGCCTCCGAGTTTGTGACGGTCGCTTAGAATCCAAGTTTGTGTTGGTCGCTTAGCCTCCGAGTTTGTGTTGGTCGCTTAGCCTCCGAGTTTGTGTTGGTCGCTTAGCCTCCAAGTTTGTGTTGGTCGCTTAGCCTCAGAGTTTGTGTCGGTCGCTTAGCCTCCGAGTTTGTGCTGGTCGCTTAGCCTCCGAGTTTGTGCTGGTCGCTTAGGCTCCGAGTTTGTGACGGTCGCTTAGCCTCCGACTTTGTGACGGTCGCTTAGCCTCTGAGTTTGTGTTGGTCGCTTAGCCTCAGAGTTTGTGTCGGTCGCTTAGCCTCTGAGTTTGTGTTGGTCGCTTAGCCTCCGAGTTTGTGCTGGTCGCTTAGGCTCCGAGTTTGTGTCGGTCGCTTAGCCTCTGAGTTTGTGTTGGTCGCTTAGCCTCAGAGTTTGTGTCGGTCGCTTAGCCTCTGAGTTTGTGTTGGTCGCTTAGCCTCCGAGTTTGTGCTGGTCGCTTAGGCTCCGAGTTTGTGCCGGTCGCTTAGCCTCCAAGTTTGTGTCGGTCGGAATTGCAAGAATTATACGAAATTAGACCGAAAACCAATCAGTTGAAGACATGTATGATTTATTTGCCAGTTTGGTGAATGAACAAAGATTTGTGAGAAAAATAAGGGGTTAATAATTGAAAAAAAAATGGGCGGGAGTGTAGGGCTTGAGTAGGTCACCAGGGTGGGCATGATAGGTATCTCTCCTGGTTATCACCTCAACTATTTCCTTTCTTATTTCAGCCTACCTGCGACCTACCCTACCCCCACCCACCCCCTCTTCCACCACAATCCACCGCACACACAACCAACTGTGACTTTAAACAGACGATATCCCACTCAGAAATATTACAATCCTATGCAGCAATGATCCGAAAAGGCAGCTATGTGATGAACGAGAAATTTTGGGGTAAATTGTGGTTTTTGAAAATTGGGTGTTGATTTAGGGAACACAGAGGGATTGTAGAGGCTGGGTCGCCGGGCTCTTTCTGGTGTAGGTTTGAGTAGGTGTAAGCAGTCTAGTAGCGTAGTGTAGCTGGGCGTCCATTGTTGCTGAAGTGGAGGTTTCAGGCCTAGGATATGTGTGTGTGTGTGTGTGTGTGTGTGTGTGTGTGTGTGTGTGTGTGTGTGTGTGTGTGTGTGTGTGTGTGTGTGTGTGTGTGTGTGTGTGTAAATGTCTCCAGCTTCCACCCGTGTCCCTGTGTCCTGCCATTTTTCATTTTGCACATTGACTCTTTGTGAAGACAATATGTCCCAGAAACATGGGTGAAACTAATTATCCGGACTCATGATCCAGGTGCTCCAGTGGATAATTGAGTATCTAAGCAACAGGAAACAGGGGAATTAATGTGAGGGGGAGACATCAGAGTGGCGAGATGTCACCAGCGGAGTCCCACAGGGCTCTGTACTTGGACCCATCCTGTTTCTGATATATGTAAGCGATCTTCCAGAGCATGTTGACTCATTGCTCTCAATGTTTGTTTATGATGCAAAAATTATGATAAGAATCAAGACAGATGAAGATAGAGAGAGACTACAGGATGACCTGGACAAATCGGTGGAATGGTCTAGAAAATGGCTACTAGAGTTTAACTCAGGGAAGTGTAAAGTAATGACATTCGGTGAAGGGAGCAGGAGTCTAGCCACTAGGTACCATCTGGGAAGTGAAATTCTGCAATTCTGATTGAAATTCTGATTGGCCAACAAAAGAACTGCCTTTAGAAACTTGTGTAAGGAATCATTCAGAACCTTGTATACCACTTATGTCACACACACATGATAACCACCTACAAAATTCTCATGGGAATTGAAAGGGTGGACAAAGACAAACTATTTAACACGTGTGGAACACGAACAAGGGGGCACAGGCGGAAACTGAGTACCCAAATGAGCCACAGGGACGTTAGAAAGAACTTTTTCAGTGTCAGAGTAGTTAACAGCTGGAATGCATTAGGCATTGATGTGGTGGAGGCTGACTCCATAGACAGTTTCAAATGTAAATGTGATAGAGCCCAGTAGGCTCAGGAACCTGTACATCAGTAGATTGACAGTTGAGAGGCGGGACCAAAGAGCCAGATCTCAACCCCCACAAGCACAACTAGGTGAGTACATAGGAAGTGAAAGCGACGACATCTCGTCCCGTCTCGAGACTCAAGGTGACGAAACGTCATCACTTACGTGGGAGCCGGTCGGCCGAGCGGACAGCACGCTGGATTTGTGATCCTGTGGTTCTGGGTTCGATCCCAGGCGCCGGCGAGAAACAATGGGCAGAGTTTCTTTCACCCTATGCCCCTGTTACCTAGCAGTAAAATAGGTACCTGGGTGTTAGTCAGCTGTCACGGGCTGCTTCCTGGGGGTGGAGGCCTGGTCGAGGACCGGGCCGCGGGGACACTAAAAAGCCCCGAAATCATCTCAAGATAACCTCAAGATAACGTCACATGTGTGGCTGTGGTTATTGGAGGTGATCTAAAGGGTCACCTCCTCTTAATATATTGCCCGTTGTTATGTCACACACAGACATCACACTAACGTGATGCATCAAATGAACAAATCCACAAGGGCCGTGACTAGGATTTGAACCTGCGTCCGGGAGCATCCCAGACACTGC